GGAAATTAAGCTGCAGAGAATGTGCAAACTGCATTTATTTCTGAGAGCTTTTAGCTTTCAGGAATGGAAAAAGTTTTACCCCAGCCAAAAAGAAAAAGGAAGCACTATCTTCTCCCCAGATTTTTAGGTTCTTCTCCAGAGTATTGAGTTATTAGAGCTTCTACAAGGAGTAATAGTTTATTGTGACTAAGCTCTATTAATATGTGATTTTTGTTGTCAGAAACAGTGATTTTCTTTCACTGAAACTTCTTCTGGACGTTGTCCATGTGTGCCAGTAAGTATGCTTAATCTGAGACTGCTGACATGGAGGATGTCATGAGGGCTGATGAAGGCTTCGCAAAGTTGTCAGCTATGTAAAGTAAGATCTACTAATGGATATCCCCCTAGTAATGCACATTCAGCAGCCTAGAAGCTAGTTTGAGTGGAGTTTTAGATGAAAGATATGCATGTACAATGATTGACACAGGTGTTTACAAATATTAAAATACATTTGATCATTTGCATTTTTAATAATAACATTGGATGTAAACCCATGCTGTGTTATTCAAAGAAAATATTCCTGCTTGAAATATCAGTCTTCAGGTGAGTTTGCTAACGATGCTGATGTGTGCAAGACAAATTACATATTATGTACTTTGTGTTTAAAAGAAGAGTATGAAGCACTTGATTGTAATCAAGTGACTCTGAAATGTACTCCCAGCTGTCATTGATTCCTGTGGTTATAGGGCAAATCAGCTTGGCTCTTGCTGTTTGTGCTCCTTACAAAAGTCTCATAGAAGTGCTGTAGAGAAGGGTTATTACATATTTTTCCATCTTCGAGGCACACAAATATACATTTACACTTTGGTTTAGTATTAAGTTTATCATTGGACTGAAATTGCTTTGCAAATGAAGGACGATGCTATCTCTGTCTCATATTTTTTTTAAATATTCCTGGGTTATCTTAGGAATGTTTAACGTACAGATCTTTCATACAGAATAAGACATTTAACTACTATGTAAACATCTGTTCTCTAAATGTTATGAATTAATTTGATTAAGGAATTTTTTGATTACTTCCTTTACTCAGAAGACGGAGATGATGCTGGCTCTGCGGAGCAGATGGATGGCACACGTGCAGAGTGGCTGCAGCAGGGCACGGCTGTTGACTTTCAGCTCTGATTCACTCAGAGCCCAAATCTCCTTTCACCTCAGTCTGTATTTTCGGACTCTTTTTAAATTCCTTAGCACCTTAGAGCACAACAATCAAAGTTTTAATTTTTTGCGTTTTGACAATGTTTTTTATTTAAGCAGATTCAGAGCAGTTGAGGGAAAACTCCCCATGGTTCCATGCAGGCTTACAAGGTGGAGGATGAGGTACGGAGGTGTTGGGTAACTTGGCAGGTCCCGTGGTCTCAAAATCACCCCAACCTAACAGTACCTGCCCCAAAAAAAGGGGCAGCCTCCCAGTCTCCTCGTTCCCAACCCCACATATCCCTTCCCTGTATTGTCCATAGCTGCTGGTGGGATTCATGGAGCTGGCTTGCCTGCAGCTGGCAGGTGGGAAGCAGGAGGGGGAGAGGGAAGGGAAGGTGAGCTCGGGATGGGGTTCAACCATCCATTAAACCACACCTCGGGCTGAGGTGTCTGGTGCCCTGCTCGCTGGAGCGTGCCCTGCTCCTTAAGGTAACACCTCTTTACAGCGCTGCAAGCTACGCTGAATAAATAGCCTACTGGGAAGGCACCTAGGAGTTACCTTTTGTAGTCTTTCGTAATGCAGCTGCTTTCTTGGTGCATGGGGAGTAACCTAACCCACTTCATCAATGCCTTTTCTCTAAATCCTGCTCATCAGAAAACTGGTTAAACTAGTTTGCCATTGGAATGCTCCCCGTCCCCTCTGCTGGATCCTGTCCCGCTTTCTGTAAATCATCACCTTCCTGAGGCCGCTGAAACTTTTCCTCATATCAGCTGGGCTACGGTTTATATCTTGAAATTTAAGCCCTTGCTTTCTCAACCAGAGAGAGAAAGCTTTTATTTTGTGGAAGCTTTTTAAAGCCTTATTAGCCATGTTTTTAAAGCCCTTTATTCTGGGAGGAAAGACAAATCACTTGCTATAGAGTTTCTTCATGGTTAAAGCAACCAGGCTGGGCAGTTTGCTATTTGGGAGAGAAATGAGTGGGCACGATTTCCTGATCTTTCTTTAAGTGTGGCGTACACATAGTTCCTGTTACTTATTATTTTTAGTCTAAACTGATTAACAGCCGAGCTCAGAATTTACAGTTGCAGTTTATCTTCCAGGGTCTCAGCAAACCCAGCTCTGTTTAAGATTCTGTCTCCGGTCAGCGAGCAGCGAGGGTTTCACTGTTGAAACCGTTGCTCTCTCTATCAAACACTGAACTTATTCCCTTTGCCTACCAATATCAGTCTCATTTCTGTTCCCGACGCTGTATTTACCTAATTTGGATAGTCTGCTATTGCACTGGAGTCAATCTTTGAAGTTAAATTGGTGTGAGGCTGAATAGAAACAGAAATTACAAGGTAAAAAGAGGGTTGAATGCAAGTAGCTGATCAGCGTTGTTGGTGAACAAGTTTAAGTTATCTGTTCAAGGAAGTTCTGTGGAAGATAATTGCGAGAGGATGTAATAATTTTTACATAAAAGTGTTTAAATTTTTAAACAAGATGAATACCTTAGCGCTTTTCTCTGAAAATCTACTGTAGTTAAAGGTAAAAGGAGAATATTTTATGTAGTGTAGAAACAAATCATTATTGGATATTTTTATTAACAGAATTCATAATAATTCAGAAGACAAATTGAGGGAAGAAATCTGAGCGTTGCAGAGGCTGTTATTTTCCAGTTTTCCCATAGGAACTTGGTAGTATTATATGGAAAATTGATACCCAGTTTGCTTCTCACTGGGGGCATGTTGCTTTAGAAATCCTTTTTGCCAACAGTCACTATTAAAAAATGCTAGCAGTTTCCAGCCCTGTTGCTAAATTATTGGTTTTCTTCTTATTTTAAATGAAGAGTTTGAAGAACTGTCATTGACCTGAAAGTTAACCTACTGGTGATTTAGATAACACCACACAAGACTCCTTGAGTAAAGAGCAATGACCATAAAACAGATCTCAGGGGTCACCAAATTCACGTGGGAGGTCAGTGGAGGAGACAAGGAGGTGGTCATTTGTTTATGATGGCCATCCTTCAAGAAAGAAGAAGGTTCTGCGATGACATCTCCAGTTCTTGCAGTAACAGTTACTTAAAAACTTAATATGAGGAAAGAATTTGCTGATTAAACTAAGAAAATCGGTTTGAAAAGCAAAGAGAAAACAATCTTGTATTTATCTTGTTGAATAGGTTGACAGAAACAATATAGAATTAAATTAGTCTATTCTATTTTTAGCAATGTATGGGTTTTCTCTCTTCCCCCCTCCCCTCTCTCCTAAGCTCCTCCAAATCTTATCTCTTGTGGTTACTGAAGATCCAATAGAGCTCTTGTACCTTTTTGCAAAACTGCAAGGATTTATTCTGGCTCTCTGGCTCAGTTCCCAGGTTTCATCTACAAAGAATCCTCTACTTCTCAAAAAGAGATGCTCTGTTCTGTTTTCTCATCCCTGTGGGACGTGCCAGTGTTCAGTAGCTGCTCTCTTACCCCTTGGAGATGGGGGCATCTGTCACATGAAACACTACAGATGTTGGCTAATGCCTTGAAGAAACATCCACCTGTGGAAAATCCTGTCCACGTTAGGCACTGTGTTAGCATAGAGTTCTCTACAGACAATAAAACTTTTAGAGAGCTTTGGGAAGAAAATTGTATTTGGTAAATACAGCATTTTTCATTTCGATAATACCTTTTCAGTAAATGCTGGGCTGAAAAATCGCACTCATTTTAGGCATGTAATTTAGGAGTGTTTCACAGTTTTATGAATATGTGCACTTGATGTAGAAGTGATAAAGTTGCCTCTTTATTGGACCGTTACTGTAAGCAAGAGTTTACTCTTGCCGCTTCTTCTTTAAATACCAGCACACTTGGAAATTTTGGAAAGGTTAGTCTGTGGCATAAGCACTTTCTTGTAACACATTTGTATAGCGTGGAGTCCCAGATGGAATCAAAGGAGCAAACCGATTTAAGCCTTTAACCAGCCTGCAAGGGTATTTTAATGAAAATTAGCCTGATTCTCCCTTTGAAGCTGTGCATGTGCTGAAAAGGAATGCTGCAGATATTCCTTGAGGTAATGCTGGGGACTTATCTACCATTACTTAAATCAGATTGCTAACTCTTGAAGGCATGTGTTTATTCTTAATCGATAGTATAATCAACTGCTGTCTGTTCTATTATGATTTCTGAGCCTTATTGACCTATATATTTTCTATTAATATTTACATCCATGACACTCATAATTAGGTAAGTGCTGACAAATCTAAATCAATCTAAGCCTAGTTTGAGTTGCTGGTAACTCAAGAGATGGTCTGTTTCAAGATTTGCACAATTACTTACTTAAGAAATCTTTTACATTATTACAGTTATGGTTATTCTGCCATTTAGTACTAATGTATTTGGCCTCTGATGTGGTTACTGGCCTCCTTTGCTTCCTTTCCTGAGCTTTGTGTTCCTGTCCTTGCTTCCAGAATGTTGTCTCACCAGGACCCTGTTTTCATTTTCTCCTCGTTTCCCTTTTGTGTTTTTTATTTTTTTTCCAGCCTTACCTTTTATTCTTTTTCCACTCTCATAGTCTTGTATGTCAAATCAGGAGCTCGCTTACTAATGTACCAAATAATGTGTTTTGCCTGAAAGCGCATACTTTCCAAAAACAGATTAATGGTTCCTATTTCAGGATGAGTCCTTATGTGCTTGTTCTGTCTTGGTCCAAACTTACCATAAGCCGCCCAGGACAGGAAACACACCACTTTGTTTACGTAAGATGAATGCATAGATTGTCCTTGATTTGTTTGAAATGCAAATGACTGTACAATTCATCAAGAGAAACTGAGATGCTCTTTGTTATTTTATTTCCCTTTTAGATGCAATGTATTTGCCAACATCAGGGACAGCAAAGGAAGCAGCAGCTCAGGAAGAACCTGACTGCCTTGCGAAATATTTCAGTGTTTTGTGGTGTAAGGCATCAAAGAAAAAGCACAAGAAGTGGGAAGGCGATGCTGTTCTTATTACAAAAGGAAAGTCAGTAATATTAAAAGATATGGAAGGCAAAGACATTGGAAGAGGTACTGTAGATTTGCATACTTGTGTAAGTGAACAACTAGCTTAAAATCATTTTTGCATAACAGAAACACAGCTCTTCAGATAATCTGGAGTTCTCCATATCGATGTCAACCACAGGATGAAAAAACAGTAAGTTGGGGGGGTGAGAAAGAGACGGAAAGAAAACTTTACATTTTTTACATATAAGGCAGATGCATGGGGGAGGCTGGGGCAGGCTGAATAACATTATTCACAGAAACAGCAAATGCTAGTCCAAGGAGAGGATCTGGAAATGAACGGCGGTACAAATTCAGCAGGGATGCCACATGAGGGATGAGTAGTTGATTTTGGTTGCTCACGTATAATGCATCGGAGAAGGTGTTAGAATTAGGGGAAGCTATACAGTTTAGTTTCTTGTCGATATTCCAACCAGTAGTATGGCAACTGGGAATGTCAGAGGTTGGATCTGTACCTCTCAACCAGTCAAACAGCTAAAAATATTATCTTTGTTGGAAAGACAAGCAAACAGCAACGTTTTCCAGCCCAGCCAAAGTCAACTGTGTGGCAATTTTTAGTCTTGTAGTTTTAGCAGCAGCTGCTCCTGTAAGACACAGTTTGGGTTGATATCAGAGTTAAAAATAAGACTTGCAAACTATAGGCTGCAGTCAATTTGAAGCAGCAGTTTTTCAGTGAAGGCAAAGCAAGAATTAACTTTGCTAACTGAGCCAAAGATGTTTTGTAAGGGAGTAGGGTTGGACAATGTTGCTACAAAACATAATTTGATTAACTTTAGGGCTGAGATGGCTTCTCTGCTCCTTTGTTACAATCATGACATTGTGAGCCTTGTTAGGACCAGGCAATTTTGATTTGCAAATCAGTCTGTGACTTAGAAGTTAATTAGAATTTATTTATAGCAAAGCAATATATGTACAGACTTGCTTGTTTTTGAAAGAGGCAGAGAGAAAGAGAGTAATGCCTGGAATGCATCAGCCACCACCCTGTTGTTCTTGTGTGTTTTTTTTTTTCCCAAGTCCTGTCTTCTTGAATTAGCAGAAAACACAATAGAAAAATGAATATTCTGATTTCTGCTGGTAAAAGTCTTTTTGCTGTGTTTGATGGTGTCAGGGAGCACAATGATACCAGTGTCATTGCCCATTCAGAGTCGCTTTCAATGCTCGTTGTTTAAAAGAAAATCATAAATTGACCAATTAAGACACAGTAAGTTTTAAATTTCTGCGATTATTTTCCAAGCCCACTGAGTGAAAAGGAAAGGCCCTCAAAAAATTGCATTTAGTACTAGGAAGTTTACAGTGAATGTGAATAAGCATCCAGGATTTTTATTTTTAAAGGGGGAGAAAAGAAGGAAAGATTTTTTTTTTTTTTTTTTTTTTTTTTTTACACGGCACAGTAGTTATCTAGGGAAATAATTTGAAATTCGTATATTGATTTTGAAAATTAGGAGGAGTTCTTTGAAATCATTGTATAAAAGTCTGTCTACTTTTTCTACAAAATTAAAATGTTTATGCATACATACTTGTGCATGTGTATGTAGCTACAAGTAATTCTTAGCCAGGTTTTTCAACACCTTTTCTTATGTGTATTTTTTTGATGACTGTGTTATGCTCAGTTATGTATTTAAAATGAATTGTAAAAAACATCCAGGATTTTTTTTTTTAAAGGGGGGGAAAAAAAAGAAAAATTTTTTTTTTTTTTTTTTTTTTTACTTAGGCATACCAGGGCTGGATCTAAGAAGGGGCACGGGAATCTAAAAGCAGCACAGGCTGTAGCTTGTTTTTGAGGCAGCAGAACATCTCACTTTTCTCCCCTGCAAATATCCTAATTCCTTCATAATGTATTACAAGAATTTAGGAAGTGCTGTCTTGTAATTTGATGTATGTTATAGAAACAGTTATTTCTGGCAGCTGCATAAACGTTTGAGCTTTGTTGGTTGGCTTTTTGCCTTTCCTAAGTTCCCATCTGCCCTTAAAGCCCATCCTGTCTTAGAATTAGACTCTTCAGACTGGAATCCAAAAGATCTTCCTCAGGGATACACCTGTATTCTGAATGTTCAGCTCCAAGCTCTGTAGAGGTAATGAGAGAAATCAAAAATGCAGAGGTCATAAATGCCCTCTCCAGGCACCTGGTTTAGATGCTCAAGAATTCCCCTGTGTTCATCTTCAGCCCTTTCCTGAAAGCAAGTTTTCTCCTTTCAAGAACCAAACAAGGTTTGCTGTGTGCTTTTTGCATGTATTTAGAGGTGGGGAAGAAAATATCTCCCATTCCCTTTTGGCTAGACTAATTTTAAGCACTTGCTTGGACTCAGAAGCACCTCAGTAAATTTATTCTCTTAAGGGAATTCAAATCCAGATCTTCATCTTCTAACCCTTTGGGAAAGGCACGTTCCTAGAAGTGGGAGACCTGAGCTTTGCAAACAGGTCCCAGCAGTCTTTATATGTAGTGTTTGGATGAAGTATGTGTAAGACCTTGGGGAATTTTTGCCTCTTTCACAGGTGAGTGCTTTAACTGCTGGTCTACACAGTCATGCTTTTTATTTTTTTGGCCTGACTAAGGATCCAAGCCCATTTATTCAAGGTGGCACAAATTTTCAGGTAGAGAAGTGGCTTTGACCTCCAAGAGTTAAGAAAAGAAACTATATATATCTCCTGTTTCTTATGTGAGAGCTTAAACCAATAGAACGCTATTTAAAAGAAGGAACCACCACTCTTTCCTATATCTTTATCTTAAAATAAAGTTGCAGCTGTATTTTGTAATGAGACTAATAGTATGTGGTAGCTGCTTTGAGAATTCCCACCCGACAGAGTCCCTAAGGGTGCATGGAAAAATGCATTGGCTCCCTGATAGGCTTTTGAATGAGCCAACTATTGAGTTAATCAGTAAATCCTGGCAAAAATCGGGCATCTGTGTTTCAGAGCATATGTAGAAGTAAAGATTTCAGATGCATATGAATCCTTTCTTGTAAAAAAAGCTAATTTAGAAGGATTTTAAAAGTGGATTGTTCTGTCTAGATCAACAGCAGGAGGGGCTAGGGTTGGTCATGTCAGGTCATGAAAGGAAGGAAGAAGCAGCTAGAATGATCATTAGTTTTGAGCAAGTTTAAAACTAAGGCAAGCTGCTAGATTTCATGATATGGGGCTCTTTTTTGTAAATTCCCTTAAATGGGTATTTGACGTTCAGTAGAACTGATTGTGGAAGATGGTGGTGATAGAATATTTGCTTACATATTCTGCTGTCTAATTCTGATTATTAGCACTGAACTGTCAACCTCTGTTAATGAGCTTCATGAATTCATAGGTGTAACAATTCAAATGCTTAAGAATCAAAAACGTGTTCAGAGTTTTGTTTTTCCTTTCTGTAGATGACTACTGATGTTAAGGAAGTAGTATTTGCTGTGTTGTCCTAATTGCTAATTTTTTATATTCTTTTTAGGTACTGGATATAAGTCTCAAGAGCTAGACAGTCTTGATGAAGGCCAAACACTGATGATTGGAGGAAAAGAAATTGAAGTGATGGGTGTAATTTCAGCAGATGATTTCAATAGTGGCAGGTGTTTTCAGGCTGGAATAGGGACTCATGACACAGTCACAACTGCTTTATCTCAAACTAATATGAAACCATTCTGTAAACCATTTAGAAGTGTCTGTCAATCCAATACTAAAGAGAACGTCCTCAAAGATCCTCAAAGCTACAAACCTCGCCATGATCCAAATGCTTCAAGTAAGATTCAGATTTTTAAGTTTCTTTGAGTATCCTCTGGCTCTCAAAGAAAGTTGAAGGTGTAACCAAAATTTTCTTTTTCCACAATATATTACTAAAGTGTTTCTGACATACAGTACTAGTGTTTCTATCAATGTCATGTTAGGATTTTATCACGTGTGTTCCTAATGAGTGAAATGCTCTGCATGGCATAACGTTTCTTGTAGTTTTTACAGATGGCTGTAGAAACAAGTTAGAGTGGTTTCTGAGAACTTTGCCAAGAAAAAAGAGTTTATTGATCAGAGAAACAGCCTGACACACACTGAAAGTTCTAGATGAGTTCCAGCCTCCCACTGGGGTCAGCGAAGCACTGGCATAACATGGCAGCATAGTAATTCCAGTGGAGGATCAGTAATAGAGAGGTTAAGACAGATTAAAAGAATTTCTTCTGACCATACCTTGTCCTTCACAGCCAGCAAGTGTAACTACGCTTTCCAAACTCAACCAGATATGTTTTGGAATAAAAGTTTTGGTTTATAATGCCAGAAGTACCATGTGCTGAAGAGCAACAAGAGTTCACAAATTACATAGAAAATGTAAAAGACAATAAAAAATGTTTCTGTAAATACATTAGCAACAAAAGGAGGGCTAAGGAGAATTTCTATTCTATATTGCATGTGGGGGAAACTTAGTGACAAAGGATGAGGAAAAGGCTGAAGTACTTAATGCCTTCTTTGCCTCAGTCCTTAATAGCAAGACTGGTTGTTCTCTGGGTACCCAGCCCCCTGAGCTGGAAGACAGGGATGGGAAGCAGAATGAAGCCCTCATAATCTAAGGGGAAATGGTGAGTGACCTGCTACACGACTTAGTCAGTCTGACCTCGGTGCTGGAGAAGGTTATAGAACAGACCATCTTCAGTGCCATCATGCAGTATGTACAGGACAACCAGGCTATCAGGCCCAGTCAGCATGGTTTATGAAAGGCAGGTCCTGCTTGACTAACCCGACGACCTTCTATGACAAGGGGACTGGCTTAGTGGATGAGGGACAGGCTGTGGATGTTTTCACCTGGACTTTAGTAAAGACTTTGACACAGTTTCCCACCGTATTCTCCTGGAGAAATGGATGGGCATATGCTTCGCTGGGTAAAAAACTGGCTGGATGGCTGGGCCCAAAGAGTTGTGGTGAACGGAGTTAAATCAAGTTGGCAGCTGGTCACATGTGGTGTTCCCCAGGGCTCAGTACTGAGGCCAGTCTTGTTTATTATCTTTATCAATGATCTGGATAAGGGGATCGAGTGCCCCCTCAGTAAGTGTGTAGACACCACCAGGTTGGGTGGGAGTGTTGATCTGCTTGAGGGTAGGAAGGCTCTACAGAGGGATCTAGACAGGTGGGATCAATGGGCTGAAGCCAATGGGATGAGGTTCAACAAGGCCAAGCGATGGGTCCTGCACTTGGGTCACAACAACCCCACTCAGTGCTACAGGCTTGGGATGGAGTGGCTGGAAAGCTGCCCAGTGGAAAAGGAGCCACAGATGTTGGTCAACAGCCAGTTGAATATTGAGCCAGCAGTGTGCCCAGGTGGCCAAGAAGGCCAACAGCATCAGGAATAGTGTGGCCAGCAGGAATAGAAAGTGATTGGCCCCCTGTAACCAGCACTGGTGAGGCCCCCTTGAATACTGTGTCATGAAAGGCAGGTCCTGCTTGACTAACCCGACGACCTTCTATGACAAGGGGACTGGCTTAGTGGATGAGGGACAGGCTGTGGATGTTTTCACCTGGACTTTAGTAAAGACTTTGACACAGTTTCCCACCGTATTCTCCTGGAGAAATGGATGGGCATATGCTTCGCTGGGTAAAAAACTGGCTGGATGGCTGGGCCCAAAGAGTTGTGGTGAACGGAGTTAAATCAAGTTGGCAGCTGGTCACATGTGGTGTTCCCCAGGGCTCAGTACTGAGGCCAGTCTTGTTTATTATCTTTATCAATGATCTGGATAAGGGGATCGAGTGCCCCCTCAGTAAGTGTGTAGACACCACCAGGTTGGGTGGGAGTGTTGATCTGCTTGAGGGTAGGAAGGCTCTACAGAGGGATCTAGACAGGTGGGATCAATGGGCTGAAGCCAATGGGATGAGGTTCAACAAGGCCAAGCGATGGGTCCTGCACTTGGGTCACAACAACCCCACTCAGTGCTACAGGCTTGGGATGGAGTGGCTGGAAAGCTGCCCAGTGGAAAAGGAGCCACAGATGTTGGTCAACAGCCAGTTGAATATTGAGCCAGCAGTGTGCCCAGGTGGCCAAGAAGGCCAACAGCATCAGGAATAGTGTGGCCAGCAGGAATAGAAAGTGATTGGCCCCCTGTAACCAGCACTGGTGAGGCCCCCTTGAATACTGTGTCCATTTTGGGCTCCTCACTACAAGAAAGACATTGAGGTGCTGGAGCAGGTCCAGAAAAGGGCAACGAAGCTGGTGAGGGGTCTGGAGCACAAGCCCTCCTCATATGGAGAGGCTTCAACACATCAATAGGTTGGACTCCCAGTCTTTATGAGTTGCTTACACAGGAGAATCACACAGTTCATTTACCTCCTTGTTGCATTACCTCTTTCAGAAGTAATGAAGATACTTAATAAGACCAGCACCTTTGTATTGGAGCATTCGGAGGTTTTCGTGCTGAGGTCTATCGCTATAGCTGATTAAAATGCAGTTTCTTCAAAATGGAAAGCCATTTATCCCTGTGCTCATCAGAACAGAGCACAGTGACAAAGATGTAAAGCCTTGTCTTTCTAAGCTTTTAGTCCATTGCTCCTGCAAGTCTTATTTCTTCCTCATCTCTGAGGCTGCAAAATTTTGTCAGAAAAGTTATCTTCTTGTCACCACTGGCTCTTATATATATGTACACATATGTAATTTGATGTAATCCATCAGAACTCAGCCCGTTGTCAGTAGGAAACAAAATCTCCCTGAATGATGCGAGCCTTCAACCAACCTATTCTCATGAATAAATTATCAATATAGATCTACTCTAGTGACATAAAAATACCAGCAGCTATAAATTGCTTTCTCATTCTCTCCTCTGACAGTACAACTTTTCAGACATGTAGCATCAATATAAGCAACCCAGTATGGACATTGTCCAGCAAAATGATGATGATAGAGTTTGCAAACAAATTATGGCAAGAAAAACTGTTATTCAGATGTAGCCCAATACTTCATGCTCTCTTTGCCTCTGTATGTCTTCAAACCTGTCAACTTCTTTTATTCATGCGCTATGGCAGCCTTTGTCAGCTCGCTCTCAGTCCTTCCCTATAGTTTTTTTTTAACAAATCGTTGTCTTTTTATCTCAGTATCTCAGGCAGAGAAGTCTTTCTGGGCAGCTACAAGAATATCGCCTTGAAATGTAATGTCTAGACTTTATGTAGGTCATTGTTTATGTTCTCTTTCTTATACATTCCCTTCAGAAGCCTTTTAGAACTACTTCTGATTTAACTCTATGCATTCAACATCATCATGCAATGTTTATTAGGTAGGGAGTTTCACCTCATCGTGAAAAAAAATTTCTCAGATTTCTCAGTTTGTCACCTTTGAGAAAAGTGCAAACTATTTGGGAGACGTCTGTAGGAGGATTTTCTATTTAGAAGGCTATTTAGTTGCTTTGTTAATAAATGCATTTTCTGTCTGAGAATGGTCAGTGTTTTTAGCAGTCATTAGATCATTGAGTTTATTCTGTACCTGAGTTAGAGAAATAATACCTATTTGCTATCAGATTGAAAATGATGTAACTTGCATATGTTTTGAACTTCAAGATTCTCTGGTTATGCCAAGACCAAATGCAAGCCATCAGTGGACATTCAATAAGGCTGGTTTACCTATGGTGGATGTAGTTGTGGATCCTTACATTGCAAATAACCTCCGACCACATCAGAGAGAAGGAATTATATTTCTCTACGAATGTGTAATGGGAATGAGGTAAGACGATAAATAATCTTTTGGCTTTCAACACCTGTAGTATTTTCATGCCCATGTTTGAAATTAAACAATTGGAATGGGAAGATTTGAGCAATTGTTCAGTTAATTAATATTATTAATTTTCCCCAGTAAAGCTTGCAAAGTTACGTGATGTCATGTGATGAGAAGCCAGTGCCCAAAAGGCCTGTCAGTTCTAATGCAAATACCAAGTCTTATAAACATGGATACAACCTAACCCATGCTAAAGCACATTGCTTTTTTGGATATATAAATCATATAATTCCTAATTATTCATATAATTTGTAATTCAGGCCTTTAGAATAAAGAAGCTATTGTACCAACATGTTGAAAAAAATTACAGTACTGTTTTCAAAAGTATTTTCTCAAGTCCTTAAAGACTGTCTATTTTCTCAGGATTCGTTAAGTCATATACAAGTTTATAAATATTAAATCTTCTGTTAGAATTGGAATTATTATCTAAGCTATTTGGTTTTAGAAGGCTAAATGCATTAATCTAGAAAATGAGGAATTTAACTCTAAGGTCTTCGGGTGTAACTGAATGAAAACCCACAGTAGAGCATAATAAGTGTAAATAAGTTCTTTGTACTTCAGAAAACAGTCACAAGAAGCAATTCCCTAAACAAGTTGTAAATAATTATAGATATGTCTTTTTAAATGTGACCACCACCTAATTATATCTTACAGAGTGAGTGGCAGATTTGGAGCTATTCTTGCTGATGAAATGGGCTTAGGAAAAACCTTGCAGTGCATCGCACTGGTCTGGACTCTCCTGCGTCAGGGGGTCTATGGATGCAAACCTGTGCTAAAGCGAGCGCTGATTGTCACCCCCGGGAGTCTGGTAAAAAACTGGAAAAAAGAATTTCAGAAGTGGTTGGGAAGCGAAAGGATCAAAGTCTTTACAGTCGATCAGGTAAGATTTATTTCTAAAAGGGGACTAGGTCGTATTTGGCTCAGAATATAGGACTTTTTTTTTTTTTTCCCCCTATTTTTTTTTTTTTTTAACTAGAGACCAAAACTAGTAATTCTGTGTTAGTATTTATTTGTAATATGTTATTTCTCCTTCAGGTAATTGTCCACGTGGGCATTTAGCTGTCAGTAACCAGGTCATAACTCAAGCTCGCTTGCCTGTGTAGCTTGTCTTTCTTCAGCTTTCTGTCTTTATCTTTCCTCAGGCTTCACCTTTGAAGATGTAAAAGGTGACACGCTCCTCCTTGTGCCTCTTCGGTTTAAGGAGCTTTCTGTTGTCTGTCAAAGCACACACCTTCCCTGCTTTACGTACCAGAGCATCTGCCTTGACTGACTTGTACTCCGTTTCTCTGGTAGTTCCTTTTGTTCTGTACTGGAAACTTTTTCCTCTTTGTTTCAGCTGTCTGTTTCGGGTTATTTCAGAAGCTTATTCTCTTTACTGTCACTGTCAAGAATTAGGTTTCTGTGAGGATGATTTAGTCTCATGAGTTACCAAGCCTAGAGGCTCGGTGTTAGATAATGTGAGTATCTCTCATCTCTAGAAGAATGGAGACAAGTACAAATCTTAATAAAGAAGCAGGATGGTGCTGATCCCTCCTATGGTGGAGATGTTCCTGCTGGTAGTGACACTCTCCAGTTCCTACAGGGCCTGGATGAATCCCAAGTGCTGAGAAAGTATTTAATCTTTTAATCTCCTCGTGTTCTTGCTGTTGTTTTTGAAAGACAAAACTCCATCCTCTACTGCAAAGACAAAAAGTTCTAGCACAGACTCTGTGCTTCAGCAACCTTTATTGACCACGTCAGGCAGGAAAGCATCTGGCCAAGTAGAAGACAAGAGAGTTCAAGGAGTGAGGCTGAAGCGTGACTGACTGAGGGCTTTCTCTGAAGGAGAGCTATGTCTCGCCCCGGTTATCCAGTAAGGTTTTCTTGCCGTGTAAATTTTCTGGTTAAGCATGGCTCAATGTCTCAGTCAGAGGGTTGGTTCCCCTCAGGATTGGCATTCATGAAGCTGTGAGCAGGAGACTTGCTCATGCCTTCGTTAACGCTTCTGAAGCTTTCAGATTCAAGCTCTGCTTTTTATAGTTAGCCATCCAGTATTTCTTTTTGTGGGACTTCTGGTCCCCATGTCCATATGGAGTGGGCATTCAGAAGAGAAAAGAAAGAGAAGTTGTTTAGCAGACTGTGGTTTCTATATGTGCATTCAGCAATTTGTCGTACCTTTACTTTTTCCTTGCTATTTGAATTGCACCAGTGGGAGGAATTGGAGACCTTAGACTGTCTGCATTGGTGCTTGCAAAATAAAGATAAATATATTTATTTTCCAAAGTTATTTTTTAATCTAATAGTTCCATATGAATAGAGTGAAGAAACAAATAGTACTTCATTCTAAAGATGACCCAATTCTTACATGAACCAGATTTGCTTTTAGTTTCTTGCATTATCTTTATTGTCTGTGTGGAAGACTGAATATTTCAGATGAAATGGAAGGTTTCAAACTGTTTTTAAACTCTTTTGTAGACCATAGAAGATTTTGTAGCAACAATTATTTCTTTGAATTCCACTCGCTATTGTCAGACCCTTGAAATTACTGAACCTACTCATCTTCCACTGAGGACAATCCACACATAATAGGTGCTCTTCGCATCATTTGCTTTTCGTAGTAACTTGTTTCAAGATGTGGAAATGAAGCGAACTGACTTGTCAGGAACTGTAATGTATAGGTTAGGATGAGAAATATGGAAGTTTCTAAAAGCAGTGGATACAAGGCAAAATATAATTTGGCAACGTTTTTACCTGAAAAGGTAGTTAGAAATAATTGAAGGTTTTCTTGCAGTTTTTATGAATAATCCTGGGAGGAGAAAACTTGAATTTGCTGACAGTTACTATGTCCCAAAATGACAGTAGCTTTCATTTTCTTTTAATTTAAATAACTTTAATATTCTTACTCATCTCGTTGGAGCCATTTGGATTGAGGACACCCAGCAGCTTTTAAGATTGTGTTCCCAAATAGGAAGGAATACATTGTCATGCAAAAGGAAGGCACAATGTGACTTGCCTGGGGTATAATGAGGTATTTCAAAATAATTTACTGTCTATCTTCTCTGGAAAAACAGCAATTACCATACTGTTATTTCTCCGGTATAACTTAAAAGGAAGAGCTTGTCTCAAAGGTTTTTTCTATTCTTGCCTGTAAGGAATACAGTCAAAGAACTGGCAGACTTTTTAAAATGTGTTAGGCGTGTTTTCCTCACTTTCACGCTGAAACACTGTGAAAACTGATCCTAACCCTTCAGTAACAGACTCTTCAAAAGCCAGGACATTATCTGCTTTTAAAATGTGATTACAGTTTACTTCTGTTAAAATGCAAATGTCGTGTAGAGGACATTGGTTTTAAAATGAAGGTGTCCGTACAAAGATCGCATTTAGGCCTCGTTAATCCACGTTATCAGCGTTTGAGACTTGAATAACTCCTTTATCTGTTTGCAGAGCATCACTTCTGCTGGGGTTGCTTTGGTTTGGCTTTTAAGTCAAAATATCTGGAGAATTAATTAATTCAGTGTTTACATTGCTTCATGATTCAGCACTTTTTTAATTTACCCTTCACCGGCTACGTTGGATTTGGAATAGTGCAAAGAAGGGTCTGCTCAAAGAGTAAGTCTGGGACATTATGGAGCTCTTATGCTGATTGACAATTGCTCCATATGTGGCTCCGGGCAACTCATTTAAACCTGTCAAGTCACTTTGGGTAATTGTGAAAATGGAGGCTATAATACATACATATCTTGCAGCTAGTTAAGAGGATAAATTAATTACTTGAAATTAGCTTGTAAATTTATTTTAATTTTCAGTCCATCATCCACTGCTGTTATTATGTACAGCAGTGAATATATTAGATTTGGCTGCCGGGGGCTTATAATATGCCAGGACTCTCCTGCTTTCTTTAAAGGGGTTCAGACAGTGTGGAAGAGTTGATGATTTACCAGGGGAGGGAGGCTGGAGGCAGTTCCCCGGTGCCCCCACCACTTTCCTCGTAGTCTCAGCTCACACCCAGAAAGTGTAGGAAAACAAAGGGATTTCGGAACCCTGGGCATCTTCTGATGCTTGGCCATGCCAAGAGAAGGTTGGTGGGCATTGCCTCTGGCTTCAGGGCTGCAATGTGGAGCAAGGACAACCTTGGGTGTTGCCTACAGGGTTCCTCTGTGCCTCCGTTGGGAAATTTTATGCCCCTGTTTTGAAACTGGCAGTAAAAATACTGGCCAGGAAATAGGCAGTTAACTACAGTCCAGGAAACAGTAGGAATGTTCAGGTCCAGTCTAAGCACCTGGGGAAACTGGTGCCATGCCCTTGTCACCTGCTTCTCTCTACTCCTTGCTTGCTCCAATGGGTGCTGGGCGGCACGTGGGGACTGATCTACCACAAGGTACTTTGTGTGATTAATGTGCCAGATTTGGCCCATAGATTCCTCTGAATCACCTGCTAGGAGGCTCTAAAGGTGGTGATAATTAAGCAGTGCTGCTTTTACAGTGTATTACACCATCTGGCTCCAGACTTAGTTGTCTGTGTTTGGTAACTGATCTTGTTTGGAAATAAAAATACCTTCTGAGGCTCTAGCTTGATTTGCTTTTGCAATTAAAGAGATTCTTCAGCTTGTCAGCTGGGCCTGTAGCCTGCTTAGTTAGTGAGCACCATTAGGAAATAGAAAGGAACATGCAGAGAATTAGTGTCTGGGGCTAATGGAAAGATGAGGGGGTAAGGGACGTGCCCACAGTAGGTTTTTCCATTTTTACACAGAATTGCAAGACAGGTAAGCAAACCTTCAACATTCACAAGTCTGTACAGAAATGTGAGTATTTCTGGTATTTTTTGGAAGAAGCTCCCTGTGACATTGCAATGATTTTTTTATTTAGTGTGTCTCTCCTTTAATAGACATCAAAAGCCTTGATGTCTATTGAAAGAAGAGGGTTTGAAAGGTATATAAAGGTGGAGGGGCTTACAGCCATTTTCTGACCAGGCTTTAGGAATCAATTGCATTTATTCACTGGTAGGCAGGTGTGTTTTCTGGAGCTGGTTATGGCCTCTAATTTTCTGAGTCCCAGGTTGCCCTTGCCTGTTCCCCAATGTTAGGGGCTTGGGACAAAGTTATTATCATACTCAATTCAAAACTACAAGAGGCACTACTTTTGGTGCCTTCCAACTGGACCACATTGCTGCACCCTGCAGAGTGAATGTCACCCCCAGAGTGAATGTACTTATGCCTCTTTGTTATCTTGGCTTTAATTTGAAGCTTACCTAAATGCCAGGACTGGGAAGCTCTTAGAAGGGAGCCTGTGCTTTTCACCTTGACAGTAATATGTCTCAGAGGATTTGAAGGCCTAAAAGAATAATAAATTTTCTTTTAATGAGGTGGTAAAACTCTAAATTGCGGCATCAGACCCCATATTTCCTTTGCAAATTAGGAAAGAATCGATAATCCAGACTCAAGGAGGAGATAGTAAATGTCTTGTATCGTGCTAGAAAAAAAATTCTGTAGACATTGCTTGTTTAAGTGATGAGTGATCTATAAAGGAATAGGTGTATGATATTTTTTCTTTTACACCTGCAGGACCACAAAGTAGAAGAATTCAGCAGTTCTCCACTTTATTCAGTTTTGATAATCAGTTACGAGATGCTACTGCGATCTTTGGATCAAATTCAGGCTATAGAATTTAACCTCCTAATCTGTGATGAAGGACATCGTTTGAAAAACAGTTCTATTAAGACAACTACAGCCCTCACTAGTCTGTCTTGTGAGAGGAGAATTATCCTTACAGGTTAGTATTTGTAGCTACTTTTAAAATTTAGCTATGCTAATAGTACTAGGTTGGGGTAAAGGAATAAGCTATTGTATGTACGGCAGGAGCACAGAATTTTGGCAATTGGTATTAAATGCACAAATCTTGGGTCTTGTAAAAATAGATTATTTCCAATTTTTTAAAATTAATGAAAAATTTGTCTAACTTCAGGGACAGGCAAGGAACCTGGGAACTTCTGTAAGGAAATCAGAAGTCTGTTTACATGCATTCGTTGTTTTCCTTTGTAGTTATTTAATAAAAGTGATTTAGGACTTGACTTTTTAAATACCTTTGTCAAAACAATTAGATGTGCAGTCTGTTTAGTAGGAGAGTAGCTTATTAATCATGATAAACTTTTAGATTAATTCACATTGAAATAAAACATCTGTTTTCAAGATAAATTCTTAAACTTTGCATTCAATGATTATATTTCTATCAGTTTCAAGAAAAAGTTACCAAATGCAGGTTATTTTTTTTCCTCTTTCCAGGTACTCCAATCCAAAATGACTTGCAAGAATTTTATGCATTAATAGAGTTTGTGAATCCAGGAATACTTGGTTCTTTATCCACGTATAGAAAGATATATGAGGAACCGATTGTCAGGTCTAGAGAACCTTCAGCAACAAAGGTATATTATTTTTAAAAATGCAGTTATAGAAGAAAATTCTTAGACAGCACTGTGAAATTTACTTTCTGTGGATTAAAATGAAGCTCAGGACTACTAATAATAGGCAAAGCTTTTCACTTTCCTATTTGAAATAAATTCAGTTGTTTGCCAAAGGGAGCTGGAGGAATACATGCATGCTGAGATCACGCCATGTCAGCTGCCTGTTAATTAGTAGGCAAAAAATTCTTCCAGCACCTTGCATTCCCCAAAAATGCCATGTGCATTACCATATAACAATACTTTATTCATTCTTAGCTTCTCCACAGTACTGCAAAATCTGTATGATTTCATTGCATCAATCAAGAAATTCTGGAATATAATTTGAGCCTTGGATGTCTTTTGGAACATTATCTTCCTTTGTTTAAGGCATTAGAAGCCAGACCTAAAACTAAGCTGATGCATTGGTACTAATTGGGGAAGAATTGAGCATAGCAGTCCCCTGTTAGAAAATGATATCATAAATTTAAAATGTTCTTTAGCTACCTGATTAAAATCATACAGAATATCATTGTGATGAAATGCAAAATAGTAATTCATTTTGTGCTTTGTTCCTTTTAGGAGGAAAAGGAATTAGGAGAAAAAAGAGCAGCAGAACTCACACGCCTCACTGGGCTCTTTATTCTTAGGAGAACACAGGAGGTTATAAACAAATTCCTGCCCCCCAAAAAGGAGACCATAATCTTCTGCCGACCAGCAGCACTGCAGCTTGAATTGTATCGAAAACTGCTCAGTTCTCGAGTTATTAGGTCCTGTCTACAAGGCAGGCTAGAAAACAGTCCTCACCTAATATGTATAGGAGCATTGAAAAAACTGTGCAATCATCCATGTCTTCTGTTTAAAGCTATAAAGGTATCTATTTGCGTGGGGGTGGGTGCCTACAATTAGCCATTTCAGCAGGCAAAGGTCACTAAAACTGTGTTATGGTCAATGTGCATGTTACTTAAGGTCATTTCCACACTCTCTTCTCACATACAACTTGCTCTAGGAGCATTAAAAAAACTGCTTCCAAAAACAAATGTTAGGAAATTTGAATGTACCTCACCAGTTTCCTATTGTCTTATGGTATTATCTTGTTCTTCATGTATTTTCCCTCTTAATCTTGTCTCTGAATATTTGTAAAAATACATATAAATGTGAATTTTACAAAGAACACTGTTAGCTAGAGATTATTCTATGTGCTCTGCCTGCTGGCTCCTTTGAAAACCTCCCTGTCCACATGATAATTTCACCCTCTCAAGCTCGGTGATGCTGGCACCTGTGTGCTCAAGATGTCAGTGGTACTAGATGTCTCCATTTCCACTTTCCCTGGGATCCTATCACACTGTACATCTTGTTATTTCTATAAAAATATTCTCATTCCGATGAGTAAATAATGTGATAGTTAGAATCACAGAATCACAGAATCTTAGTGGTTGGAAGGGACCTCCGAGATCATCGAGTCCAACCACAAAAAAACAACAACAAAAAAACCAAACCAACAAACAAAAAAAACACAAACAAAAAAACCCACCACAACCACCACAAGAACAACAAACCCAAACCCACCCCTGTACATTACCAACTAGGTAATACTAACTTCTCTGGCCGCTAGTCGAAGCCAAGTAAGGTGGGTGGAAACGTAAATCTATCTTAAAAGACCTACCTCATGACTTGTAGGAATGTCCGCAGCACAGAGCTCCCTGTAACTTTTGCTGCTGCCAATTAAAGTTCATTGCCTTTACTACTTAGGGTGAGTATAGAAATTTTCCTTATGTGAAAGTGTGAAACCCTTCAGAAACTATACGTATGGAAAGGACTATGTGTGAAAGTCATTTATTACCGTTGTGGTTTTGGGGTTTGGTTAGTTTGGCTTTTCTCTCCCTGTGAAATATTGATTTTCAAATTACAGCAAAATATTACCTGTATTCCTTCTGTTTTACTGGTTTTACTTGTTAGCTTTTCCTCATTTCCAACTGCATAACTGACTCTTACTGATCACATCTTCCTAAGAAAAGCCATTGACTGGGAAGTCCCACAATAGGGTATCGTGTGATTTAGAAAGAATAAGCAGAGTATTGATTTTTTCCCCCCAATTTTTAGACATGGCTTCGCTGTGGGTGTACATCTGTGTGGTTGTTTAAGTAGAGAAGTAGAAATAAAACACCTTTTTCAGTTCTAAGTAAATAAAACACCTTTTTCAGTTCTAAATATTTCAACTTTCTACTCAGCTGCAAACGACATCTTACATTAGTGGGTGTAAACCAAAATAAACAATATCAGTATCTTAAAACTGTGCTTTCAGTGCGGTACTGGGAGGTTGTAGTCCTCACGTGATACAGTACTTTGTCACAGCTTCCAATGCCTCCTTTTGTCTTTGGAATAAAAATATTGCAAAGTTTAAAAAGAAAACCAAAAGATGTTAGAGAGGATATGAGACTTGAATCCTTTTATTTTCAATAGGAAAAGAGCTGTGGTCCTGTGTTCGATGACCATGATGAGTCCAGTCTCTATGAAGGTCTAATAGATGTCTTTCCACAAGATTACACTTTGGACACTTTCTCTGAAACCGATTCGGGAAAACTGCAGGTGCTGGTGAAGTTGTTAGCAGCAATCCGTGAGCTCAACTCTTCCGAGAGGTCAGTGTGAAAGAAACTTAAAAGAGAGATAATGGGACTGATCTGCTTGATGCTGTTTTGTGTTTCAAATGCGTGGGGATGTAATACTCAAAGTAAAGGCATTGCAGCTGTTTGCAGAGGTGCCCAGCGTATTTATGCGTTGTATTCCTGGCTCTTCCTTCTTAAATTACTAAACTAGGATTTACAGCTGATGTTTTCAAAGTTGCTGGTCGTGTTTTTTCAAGGTGAAGATACTTGTATTTTTCATAGTGAGTTCCAGCAAGTAAGATAGAGTTTGCTTATAGCCCCTGTGCTATGACATATTGTCTTTACTTGCAAAGGCTTTACAATGTTTTGTATCTCCTTGAGGAGATGTATTCGTATATTAAATACTTGAAATTGCACTACAATATTTTTAACTACTAGATTATAAATTCTTTCCTCTTTAATCATATTTAACCACTCAGCGCTTGCTGCCTTTTCTGTTCAGAGGAACCAGTCTCAACAGACAAACTTGCACAGCAACTGCTTCTTTTCCCTGTGGTAAATACCACTGATGTTTAGGAAAACCTCTGTTTTTCATGGGGTAATAAGATGCACATGCTCAGTTACTGTGCAATTGCTGATTCGGGGAAATCCCACATGAGCTTGCGTCCCATGATAACTTTTTTACATACTCATGCCTTAAAGCCCAGCTATTCCAAAAGTATTTAGCTTTTAGCTTTCATTTAAATTGATGCTTAAATAGGGCATGCTGTAATTCAGTAGCGGGAAATAACAGCAGATCTCTTGGCACTGATGTAGTGGAATTTTTGTTTCTTCCTGATACTCTCTCCTTACAAATTAGAAAGTTGTACCTGTCGTTGGAGTTTATGTACCTAATATCCACTGAAGCCAATGACAGCTAAATATCTAAATGTACTGGCCTTATTTCTGGTAGGTCAAAAGAATCAGGAGTATCAGGAAACAGCACCTTTCCCTTCAGCAGTGTTACAGGAGCTGCTGAGTTACAGCTGGTGTCGAGGCATTATTTTATACTTTTAAAAGTTTTGTTGCTTTAATTCAGTGCTTTTTGTGTTACTTTTTCATTTGTTTCTCTGCTGCCATTAGTATTAAATAGTTTTTGCAATAGATGGACTCAATTCCAATCCTCTTTTAACATTTATATTCTATTTTTGAGTGAAAACAAACGTGTGAATTTGGGGTCAACTGACAAAAAATATCAATCTTGCAGTCTTTACAAACAAATCTTGGATGTAGTTCCACTGTAAAATGTAATAATAAAGTACTTTAAAACAATTTAAAAATATTGATTTGTCAGCTTTTCCATTAAATTCTTTGTCCAGTTCTTCAGTACTTGTTTTTAATCAAAATGATCATAAAAATTGGAGCACATTTGATGGAATTTTGTACATTTAGTTTAGATTATAAAAGACCTCCAAAGAAGATCTGGCAGAAAATGCCCTAACTGTTTAGGGCTTATTATTTTATTTATGGCTTAAATTCAAAATATCTTTCTTTGTCCACTTAGTGGAGTCATCCTCAATATCTGGGAGGATAGAAATTCTAGATTTGCAGGTCTCTGAAACTAATTTAGTTAAAATTTCAGAGAAGAAACACCAACATAGTATAGGTCATTAGGGTAAGGGATCAGGAGACTGATTTTGCTTTAAATAAAATAACAAAAATGCATACTATATTGTTTGTGGTATCTTTCACTGTCCTTCATCCCAGCTCTTTTCAGTCAAAATATAGGAGTCATTGCTTTGCTTTCCTATTTGACTTTCATGATTTTGTTTATTAGAATTTTTGAAGGTTGTCTCTAGAAGTTCACAGTAGCTTTTTCAGTAAGTAGAGTCATATGTATATTATTTATTAGCTGCTGCATCACCCTCTCCCAATGCTGCCTTAACAACTGCTGTTTTGTGTAAATAGAGGTTTATTTCTTTTTTTTAAAATCTCTCTCTGTGGTTGGTTCTGGATCCCTGCAATCTATGCGTTAAGCCAAATTCTGTTGCAAAAGAAAACATACATTATTTAACATTTGAGTGCTTGACAGTAGGTGTAATGCATTCAAATCTCGTATGTGCTTCAAATTAATTGGAAATGTTTTATTTCTTAGGAAATATGAGTAACCTCAGGTTGATGTGTAATTTTTGCCTGCCTTATAATTTTATTTTCTTTGATATCTTCAGTAATTTGCTATTGGACTTTACCAAGGTATAAAATGATAAGATAATTCTGTTTTACTGTTTGGCAGAGTCGTACTGGTATCCAATTACACTCAGACGTTGAACATATTACAAGAGACATGCAAACATTATGGATACTCTTATACTAGACTTGATGGACACACTCCTGTCTCCCAGCGGCAACAGATTGTTGATACGTTTAATAGTAAATTCAGCCCAGCTTTTATCTTTTTGCTGAGTTCGAAGGCGGGCGGAGTAGGACTGAATCTGGTCGGAGCATCTCATTTGATCCTGTATGATATCGACTGGAATCCAGCTACGGATCTTCAGGTCTGATACAACTGTGTATGTGGGGCTTGGGACAGGCATCAGATTGAGATCTTGATTGATTTTGAAATGCCCGGCTTTACATGTCTTATCATTACCCAATTATCACCTTGCTTCTGGACAGATATATTTAGTGGAGGAAAACTGTATCTGAGAAAAATAGAAGAAACTTTTCTTTGTCATAATATATATTGGTATCATTAGAAGCTCCCTTGCAGTTAAAAATGAGGAGTAAATTCTGGTTTCCTTGGAGGAGTGAGTCCTGTATCCCTTTTGTCTCCTGAGCTCTTTTTAGCTGGAAAGCTGTGTTAGAGGAGAAACCTCTGCCCGAGCATTCACACACCGGCCGAGTCTTTAACTGCTGGGACCAAGGTCCCTTCGCAGTGGGTGACCCCAGTGAGCCGAGGGGTGCCCCTTTTCACTCCTCACACACTCTTGAATGCAATCCCTTCTTCTTCAGGCTCCACCCCAGGTGGCCGGGCTCCCCCCTGTGTTGCACATATTTGCTAATCAGCCTTGGAATTCTGGCGATTTAACTTCATGGGGGAGTAAAATGCTGAGACCGAGAGAGGATGCTGAAAAATGCGCTCAGTTGTTTTCTAATATAAACACAGAGTGTAACCCAAATTGGGGGTTTCCTGCAGAAGAGTCTCAGGCACTGGATTTTATAGAAATCAATAATGTCATTGCAGGGTCCAGCAGGAGGGTCAGCTGGCTGGGTGCCTCCAGAGAGGGGCGTCGAGCAAAGACATCCCTGGGCAATTACACCCCCGTGATCTGTGTAAGCCCAATGATGACTTTTGGTCTGAGCTCTTCTAACACCTTGTTGGATTCTTTTTCTGTGTCCAGGCAGGCAGGCCAGCCATTGACTGCTCTTATCTCATTGATTTGCAGTCTCTGCTGATGGTTGCAGTCTCCGCTGATGGTTGCAGTCTCCTTATCTTCTGTTTTATGCTTCTTGTGCACCTGCGCTCCCTGGCAGAACATGGGGAGCTGGGAAGTCCAGGACTTAGGGAAGAATGCCACCAAAATATCAGTGTGTTATGGACGTTTTCCTCATACTAAAAGCCTAAACATAGCACTGTACCAGCTACTAGGAAAATTACTAATAAAATTAACTCTATTGTGACCTAAAGGCTTCAGCAAGTCTAGCTACTCCAGCTAAGTAAAGCTAGGCAAACAGCATAAATCACACTATATTATATCCCTAAGTAATTTATTTTAATGAAAACTTACTGAAGCTGAACAACTAATATCTCTCAACGCTGTGTATCTGAAAAGAAAATTATGATTAGAGTGCATAGCAAGTGCTGCTGTCAATTTGCAATACCTGAGAAAAAGGGAGAGGTTCTGATCGGAATTAAGAGAATAAGAAAATCATGATGGTAAAAGAAAGAAAACAAAGCCAGTGCTGTGCTATTCTTGTAACAGCACTGTTGGACTCAAGGGATTAGTTAGTTGACATAAGAGTGTTCAGTTAAAATAGTCCTTAACAATAACAATTTAAAAAATTCTTTTTATCAACGCAGTAAGAAACTTTTTGTTGTACAGTAATGCTGTGTGCTTAATACCTGAAAGAAAATCTGGTTCTTGGCCCTGCTCCCATTCCAAGTGTGAGTTAGTACCCTCATGTGGTCACTGGTCTGGTTTCTTGAAACATGGTCTGCTAAATGAGTCAAAATTGCTACAGGTTGCCAAAGACCACAAGCCGTGTTGTGGCTACTTGTACCCAATACGGACGTGTAACCCTTGCATGTTTTACAAAAATCATATAACAGTACACAGTTACATTTTGTTTGTTTAAGAATTAAAAGGTGTGTGAAACACTAATTTTACAATTTTAAACAAAATTCCAATGCCATTTTTAAAGCTGTATTGTGGCAAAAATTGTTTGGAGATAGTGGAGAATGAGTATTCCTGAAAAGAGCTGCTAATGCTTGGAAAACAAATGTGGCCTTGGAAAGAGGCCAAACCCCTACCTTCCTACTATATCACAGAGAAAGAAAGGGGAGCAGAAATGACAGAAAGTAAATTAAGTTTTCAAAAGTATTTACAGTTAATAACAGAAAACTTTTGTAAAAACAGTCAAAGACAGTTACTGAGGAGTGCTTTCTTTGGGCAACACCTTTTTGAATGAGCCAGCAGAACTGGTAACTTGATCGGCAGAGTTTGAGTTTAAATACTATTCTCTAGTAGGCTGTTAATGCTCCTCATCTTTTTGCTTTCTTCAGGCAATGGCCAGAGTGTGGAGAGATGGTCAGAAGCACACTGTACATATCTACAGACTGCTAACCACAGGTCAGAAGTGGGGCTCAAACAAACACTGGAGTGAGACAGCTATTGAAATTATGTCAGTAAAAGAAAGGGAGTGTTTTGGGGAATATTTTGCTCTTTAAAAAAATATAGTTTGTTCTGAATTCAGTTAAAATGGAAACATCACATTGATTTGTTTAGCTTTGCTTTGGTTTTGCTTTAATAATGGAAAATAGTAGTTTAGCTTCCTATTTCCTATTAATATTATGCTTACAAGTATCTAAAGGGTGGGTTGAAGGAGGATGGAGCCAGACCCTTTTCAGTGGTTCCCAGTGACAGGACGAGGGGCAACGGGCACAAGTTGGAACATGGGAAGTTCCACTCCAATATGAGAAAAAACTTCTTTCCAGTGAGGGTGCCAGAGCCCTGGAACAGGCTGCCCAAGGAGGGTGTGGAGTCCCCTTCTCTGGAGATCTTCAAGACCCCACCTGGATGTCATCCTGAGTGATGTGCTCTGGGCAACCCTGCTTTGGTAGGGGAGTTGGACTGGATGATCTCTAGAGGTCCCTTCCAACTCCGACAATTCCGTGATAATCCGTGATTATTATAAAGAAATTGACTTGAATTTTATTGTTGAGAATACTAATAAAAAATTATCCCAGCTACTCTATTTTTTTTTCCCCAATACAGGCTCAATAGAAGAAAAGATTTATCAAAGACAGATCAGCAAACAAGACCTTTCTGGGGCAGTTGTAGACCTTTCCAAGACATCTGAACACATCCATTTTTCCATAGAGGAGCTCAGAGATCTCTTTACTCTTCATGAAGATTCCAGCTGTGTTACCCATGATTTGCTTGAGTGTGACTGTATGGGAAAAAAAGACCATCAAAGTGAGTTGCTTTTTCATTATCTCTGGTGATTGCTGAGGTAGAACATCCATTCTGAATATATGGTCTGTCACAGAAAACTGTGATGCTCAGTAAAATGGGATTGAAGTAATCAGGTTTATTATGAGATCTTCCAGATATTGGCTGATTTTTCTAATCTATGGGAGTTCTTCACAAGATGAAGAGGAAAAAAGATTCATTCCTTGTTGTAACAACCAATTCATGTATCATACCTCTTAATTCCTTGAATTAGCTATGGCCAGCTCAACTAGTGATTCATTACAAAGAAATGACACTCTAATGGTGTTTTGCTTCTAAACACAATAATGAGTAGCTGGAAAGTGTTAGTTCAAAGGCTTATCTGGGCCAGCTTTACCAGGTACCAGATGAAGATGTAGATAATGATGCACCAAATCTCTGAATATAACCCTTCACAGTTATTAGCTAAAGCTCATGGAGGATGATTAAAATCGGTACTTGAGAAATAGTGAAAGATCCTCTGGCAGCTGTAAACCCGAGTTGCAATTCACATCTATCCTTTCTGCAGGAACCTGTCTCTTGTGTTCTTTTAGCATACCAAAATTGTTTTAATACCTTGCTGCATACGGGTATATAGGTTTAAGTTAGAGCAGAATTAAAAAAGAAAAATTATCTTAAGTTTACATCTCATCCATTTTAATTTGATAGCTCATCTGGTTTCTTAGAGGAAAGAGCGTCAATTGCCCTGGTGTGTTTCTTTCCTTTGGGCATGAAATACCCATATGCGATATTCACAGATGTGATAGTGAGGTACCCATACTGATCTCTTCTAAATGCACACAGATACCACAATAAAAAGAGCCAAAGAAATGGTTACAGGAGCGTGTGTGCTCAACAGAGCCAATGAGACTATTTTGCTTGGTGGTTTGCATGTCTCCAGGTAGTGAGCTAGAGCTGTGTTCCTTTCTCATCCCATTCTATCCAAAATGGGGAGGATGTGATTAGGGAAAGCACACTGCTTCTGTAGCCATAAGAATTTGACTTTCTCCTTTGATTTTTGCTCCACATACTGATTTCATGGCCTTTGTATCTTTCTTTAAAGACTGAAAAATTAGACCTTCTGGTTTTGCTTGAGTAAGTGATGTTCTAAAATGTACCAGCCTCCACTTAGGTACCGTTGCATGATCTGTGTGGAAAAGGCACCTTTAATGTAAAATGTTAGCAGAAATCCAAAGAAATATTATAGTATTACTGTTACGAACACTGATGCATATAATTTTATTTAGCATTTTGCAATTTTCTTAACACTCTTAAGTGCTCGTCTTATGATTTGAGCACATATTGGTTCCATCAATTCAACCACAACATGAGTCTCTTGTATCTCAGGGCAGTGAACGTAACCAGGACTTCCTCAAGGGTAATCATATCTTGGTCCCAGTGAACAGAACCTTTTTGGCAGGAAATCAAGGGAAAACCTGAAGGTCATTCTTAGACTTAAGTGGTACAACTGATAGAGTGAGGGGAAAGTTTGATTTTCTAAACAGCAGAGGACAAACTGGGTATCAGTTACCTGGTCAAATTGTTGTGAGTTATGGTCTTCATTTTGATCATCCCAGAATGCAGCTACTGTTAGTTGGTCCCTTTGCCTTTCCTAAGAACAAAAAGCTTGCAAATTACTTCATCGGGGAACCAGAGTCCAGATTCCTGGGGACAGATACTGATGCACAGAAAGCCTACCATCCAGGGAAAGGCTGAGAGAACTGAGTTTGTTCGGCCTTGGCTTAGGGGATGTCCTATCACCACGTTCCAGTAATTAAAGGGTGGCTACAAAGAAGATGGAGACTCCCCCTTTTACAAGAAGTCACATGGAAAAGATGAGACGTGATGGGTACAAGTTACGCCAGGGGAGATTCCAATGGAAAATTTTTCACAATGAGAACAATCAGTCATTGGAATAATCTCCCCAGGGAAGTGGCAGATTCCTCATCATTGGACACTTTTTAAGATTCAGCTGGACAGGGTGCTGGGCCATCTTGTCTAGACCATGCTTTTCTCAAGAAAGGTTGGATCAGATCCTTAAGGTCCCTTCCAACCTGGTGTTCTATGACTTCAAGAAGTGCATCTATTCTGAATTTTCTTCCAGCCAGTAAAAGAATGTTTCAAGTCTAGTGCAAGTGTGCATCATACGTCAGTCAAAGGGCGAGTCTTGCATAATACGACTCTCCAGTTATGGACTCTCCAAAACTTTAACAAAACTCAAGAATACTCTGAGTCATCGTGCTGCTCCTATCACTGGGCTTTCCTAAGGGGCATGTAATGCTGCTGTGAAAATATTTGATGACAGGTTTGAAACCGATAACAGCAGTGATGCGTTTTTTTCCCATCCAAAATGATTTCTTCATTTATCAGATGAATCATGAAGCCAGCAATGCGTGACGTACCCTGCAATGACCTGGTACTGTTTAGGATCCTTTGACAAAAGTGAATTGCTCTGTGCTTCTTTTTTGCTTACTGTGATATACAGTATATACAGGACTGTGTACATTGAACAACTTGGCATAAACTGGATGTACAGAGTGCACAGCTCTGGTGTGCTGAGACAATGAAGTAGCTATTCAAACTATTTTTAGCTGTTTGGAATGACTTCTCTGGGAGGAAACAGAAGCTAGCATGAATTTTGCTGTGACATACTTCTAGATTCAGGTTTACTTAAAGAATGGGAGCAGCCCAAATGTCAGAGAATTAGGAAAACAGAAGAAATGAAATTACTAGATAAGATGTTTCCTTTCCCATCCATGTGTAAAAGGATTTGTTTTTACGCTAGCATATGGTGATTTTGATAAACTCAATCAATGAGCAAGAAACAGCCTTTCCCCTCTTACTGTGGATGCATATGTTTGGGTTTCAATGACATAGAAGGATTATATATGCTGTTCTATTTTCTCTCATTTGTTATCACCAACTGGCTTATTGATTCAGACTGAAATTTTCTGTCCTAGTTTTCTCTGATTAGTCTACTGCATTTATTTTTTTTTATTATTATTTTTTTTTATTTATTTCAGATCCTTCTTCAGAAAAGCCTTCTGTATCTAGAAGTTGCCAGCTTGGCCAAAACCATGGGAAGCCTGATTCAAAGAAACCACTCTCCATGTCACAGCTGATGCAATGGAAACATTTCTCTGGGCAACATCATGCTCTAGCTGATCCTTTCCTTGAAAGGATAAAAGAGAATGCTTCTTTTGTTTTCCAGAATGTAACCAGCCCAGCTTCCTCCACCTAATAAACTGAAGTGTCTTTCCCTACTGCTTGCATCCTCCTCCCCATAGGTAGGGAAACAGCTGTACTGATGGGCAGTTACATTTAGTTCTTTTTGCCAAGTTCTGTTCTGGATATTTCTGACAGGGTTTCTGGGTAAATGTGATTCCCGTTGTTTACACAAAGTTACAGCTTTTACTAAGTTAATTATACTTACGATAACTATAATACAGATTTTTAAAACTAACTTTGCTTTCCAGTCTTCTCTTCTTTTGATATCATAATTAGTAAGATTGTTTTTATGCACATTCCTGTGTATGTCAACTTTGGTTTATAGTTTTCATTTCATCATAATGTCTCATTGCTTGTAAAGCTGGCAACTCTTGAGCCAAATTTTATCGCATTAGTCAACACTATATAAATGTATATGTTGTTAATAAGACTGGTTGGATTTTTGTTTTGATAATGAAAAGTTATGTATCTGTGTAACTGCGGTTTTATAACAAGGTAGGTGTTTGTTCCCTTGAGTCTACGATTTAATGAAACTCAGAACGATAGCCACCGAGGTCCTAAATTCTGAGATCACAGCTTGACACTATGTCAAAATATTCGTAAATTCACCTGTGGCTTTTACTTGGGAAAATAAACTTTATTTCTCAGATGTACAGAGTACAGGCTTACCTACATTTAGCTAACTCCTTTTAAAGACAGTTTTTGCCAAACACCGGAGTACTGGGCGTATTTTTATGGTATATTTTTTATGGGTGTATTTTCCTTATTCTTTGAAGGTGCAGAAGTTAGAAATCAGTTTATAGCTTTTAAGTGAAGTACTTTGGGAGGCCCAGAAGAACAGAAGATTGGATGATTTTCAGAAATACTGCAAACTGACAGAATTTGAAAGACTTCGAGCGAGAATAGGGCTCCATTGTGGTAATCCTGCCTTGTGCCACATGATGTACAACCTGGGGATATTTCATACATGTTGTGATAGCACTGGCTAAAAGCCCAACTGATATTCATAAAATAGTTAAAATTGGTTTGTTCTCCATGTTATAACAGCTTCTCTCTTTCTGTAGACTGTCACTGAGTTCACAGTCCATCCTAAGCTATTGTCAGACATTTTCCTTGCATTTTGATGCAGTTTGGGAATGGAAAGCCATGTGCACTGACCTCTTTTCACCATCCACATTTATTTCAGAGGATTTTTTGAGTTTCCTCTGACTCTGAATGCTGAATGACACTAGAAAATAATGAAAACTGAAGTGAGAGAATGATTGAGAACACCATCAATTACGAACATCTTTTTGGCATGCAAATTGTGTTCTTGGTAACAGCTAGAATTGTGCTAATAGATAGAGTTTAATTCTTTAACGTTTTAGGCTTGTTGTTAAAGAGTCTATTCCACACCTTGTGGAATGTGGTGGTCATGCTCTCCAGGTGTTGTGTTGCTGTAGTGTCCGATTGTTGTTAGACAAAGGCTGTCTGATACCTTACAGCTCCCACAGCTTAATTGGCAAGGGCAAGGTTTGCCTGCAGCTTTGTAGCTCAAGGAAGAGTTTCTAGCCAATCTGTGTAATAAAGATTATTGTCATTAATAATGTCACCCCACCTCGAGTACTGTGTCCAGTTTTGGGCCCCCTACCACAAGAGGGACATTGAGGTGCTGGAGCGGGTCCAGAGAAGGGCAACGAAGCTGGTGAGGGGTCTGGAGCACAAGTCTTACGAGGAGAGGCTGAGGGAGCTGGGGAAGAGGAGACTGAGGGGAGACCTTATCGCTCTGTACAAGTACCTGAAAGGAGGCTGTAGAGAGACGGGGGTCGGTCTCTTCTCCCAAGCTACAGACGATAGGACAAGGGGTAATGGCTTCAAGTTGCGCCAGGGGAAGTTCAGGTTGGATATTAGGAAACATTTCTTTACTGAAAGGGTTGTCAGGCATTGGAATGGGCTGCCCAGGGAGGTGGTGGAGTCACCATCCCTGGAGGTATTTAAGAAACGTGTAGACATGGCTCTTCAGGGCATGCTCTAGTGCCCAAGATTATTGGTTTGTGGTAGGATGTTGTGTGGGTGGGTGATGGTTTTGGTTTGGTTGTTGTTGTTGTGTGTTTAGGTGGTGGATGGTGTGTGTGTTGGTTTTTTTTTTGTTTTTTTTTTTTTGTGGTTGGACTCGATGATCTCTGAGGTCCCTTCCAACCACTACGATTCTGTCATTCTGTGATTCTGTGATTCTGTAATAATTATTTGAGACTGATCATACTTAGACCTCTGCTGCCCATAAGTATCTCTGAGTTCTGCTCCTGTCCCTGTCTGTAGGAAGCACGCCGCCATTCTCTGCTCTCTACTGATGCTGATCTCATGTGTGGTTTCTTGCACCTGCATGAACAAGTGGGTGGCACTTTGGTTCCATCGCTGATTCATTTGTGAGAGCCTGGTCATCTCCACTGAACACACATGAGCCCACTCTGGTTTGGAGCAAACAGACTGGCAGTGCTGTTGAGGAAACCTGGGCGTATAGGAGAAGGAAGTGTGCTCCAGGATCCACACTGGGCCATGTTTCATCTCCTGTGCCCAAGGTAGTCCTTCAGGGCTTTCTCAGCAGCTGTCTCACCTCTCCTGTTGAGTCCTGCCCTCAGACAGCCCTACGTGCTGTCACGTCACGCACCACTCTGCCCAATACAGCTCTACCTGCAATGCTGGGGGAGCACAGGTCTGGCAGAGAAGCCCTTTCATTGTTTGGCTTCCAGGGTAGTTTTAGTTTGGCAGTTTTTAAATAAATAAGATAAAAACTGGTGCTGGACCATCATGGAGCTCTCAGGAGGCCAGAGGAGATGAGCCCCCGGACATACTGCTGTGTGTGTGAAGTTGATCCAAGCTCAGATCATGGTTCTGGGAGGGATTTCTGGCAGATGGGCTATCACACTAAGTAATGTTGCTTCAAGGTTAAGAAGCCCAAAGTGGCCTATACAGGCACACGTAATGCCAGTTATAGCTTCCCTGTCTGTACCCTGCTACGCCAAGCTGTCCCACATGTCTGGCAGTGGCAGATGCATGGTGATGGAAGGCTCCTCCAGCATCCACCCAGCCAGCCAAACGTACGTTCTGGGCATGATGGGAGCCTCCATGTGCTTCTTGATTGTTTGGGTAAGACAATACTACCCAAAAAACAGATTGTGCGTGGCTTTACACACAGTGCAGGCTGAAAATCTGATTCGGAAATCTGATGTTTCCTGGAAAATTACATTTCTCACTGGAAGAATAGCTTGTGGAAAATATAGGGAGCATGAATACAGACTTTAATTTATTACGCCGTCTGTGATTCTCTCACAGTAGTCTACAACAGCCTGCAAAACGGAACTAGCCCATCCTGCCCACATAATCATAGTATAATAATTAGTGTTTCCATACAGAGTGCAGCACGTGGACATGGAGATTTCTTCACCCATAGGTGAGAAATGTCTACTAGGAAAAGGACCTGTGGTGAATTTAGCCTAATCTGACTGTTGACTGATAAGCTATATTGAGGATTTCAAGTCTCTAAAAGGTCGTGTTGCCCTTTCTCTTAACAACTGTGAAGCCCTAGAGGATGGGGAAGGTGGGTGGTGCTAAAAGGCAAGTATCAGGTCCTAGCAGATGGTCTCAGATGTGGCTTCTGCATTCTCTGCCAGTGATGCCAGCTGTAAAGCACTATCTAGTTTATGTTGCATGGTCCCACCAATCAGTCCTAGTCTCCTGGATCCAGGATTTCCTTTGCAGGAAGGGGGAGGCAAGGGCTGTTGAAGTCACAGCTGTGTTCTTGCACAATGCTTGAAATACAAAGTGTCGATCAATGTGCTTGGCTGCCTTTTCCTGTTTTTGAGGGATGCAAGAGTTCATCCACCAAGTGGTGGTTCCTAGGGACCTGCCGCAAAGAATTTCACTGAATTTCACTGAATTTTTAGAGTTGGAAGGGACCATAGAGATCATCTAGTCCAACTCCTCGGCTGAGGCAGGATTGCCTAGAGCTAGAGCATGTTACTCAGGAGCATCCAGGCGGGTCTTGAAAATCTCCAAAGAAGGGGACTCCACGACCTCCCTGGGCAGCCTGTTCCAGGGCTCTGTCACCCTCACTGTGAAGAAGTTTTTTCTCATATTTGAGTGGAACCTCTTATGTTCCAGCTTATGCCCATTGCCCCTCGTCCTCCCACTGGCAACCGCTGAAAAGAGTCTGGCTCCCTCCTCCTTCACACCACCCTTTAGGTACTTATAGGCATTGATAAGGTCTCCCCTCAGCCTTCTCTTCTCCAGACTAAAGAGTCCCAGCTCTTTCAGCCTTTCTTCATGCTCCAATCCTTGAATCATCTTCATCGCCCTTCGCTGGACTCTTTCCAGTAGCTCCTTGTCTCTCTTGAACTGGGAAGCCCAGAACTGGATGCAGGATTCCAGTTGTGGCCTCACCAGTGCCGAGTAGAGGGGGAGAATGACTTCCCTTGACCTGCTGGCCACACTCTTCCCTATGCAGCCCAGGACTCCATTGGCCTTCCTGGCCACAAGAGCACACTGCTTGCTCATTGTCATTTTGCTGTCTACCAGGACCCCCAGATCTTTCTCTTCAGAGCTTGTCTCCAGCAGATCCACGCCTAACCTGTATTGGTGCCTGACATTCTTCTTCCCCAATAAGGCAGGTCTGCTTAGCAATAGGTGGCTCAAATGGTGGCTTCTTCAGTGGAGCATGAAAAACCAAGAGCAGCAGAAGCCACAGGGGTAAGCACGATGGCAAGCAGCATGTTTTTTTCAAACACATGCTAAGCAAAGATTGCCAGCACTTGATGTTTATTAGTGCTACGGAATCAGCAAAACTGTGGAGAGTGAAGAGGTGTGCCCTGAGGCAGCAAGTGGTGAGTGCGGTGTCGGCTGAACTTCCCGCTGCCTTTGTAGGTGTGAGACGTTGAGCACGCTGTGACTTGATAACCCTCAACCTGAGCTCAGATACTCCCTTGAATGACCCCAATTTGAGCTGCTTTGCAGCGGCGGGCAGAGAGGAGTGCTCACCCTGTCAGGAGAACAGATCCCAAAGAGGTTGTGTGCGCTTGGGGAACGGTCGGCTAATCTTAGAACGGCTACTGCAGGGCTCTGAATCACAGCGGGGAGGGAGGGTTGTCAACCAGCCCTCACATTCAGCAATCAATATTGTGTTCCTTGCCAGCTCTTGGCTGGGAGGAGGGGATTTTGGAGAAATTCTGTTACTTCTGGTGTACAGGGCATAGTGCCAAAGAGACAAGCGTACTGCATGTTCCAGGCTGAGACCAACCCTGATTTTAAAAAGCAGAAGGGGTGGTGTTTTATTTATTTTTGTATATTGCAGCAAGGGCTTTTTTTAACTGGTTTCATATGACTGTTTTTGTTGATTCAGCTTTTATCCATCTTGGCTCAGGTTTTTTTTGTGATTGAGATGGTGACCCCGCATCATTATTCACTTGCAGAATAGAAATCTGAATTATAACTCTTCACTTACTGTCAGACAAGGAACCGTATAACAAGCTTTGGGTGTCATACAGGTTTGTACGGCAACTGCAGTAGATGTATCTTGCATTCTGAAAGGAGGTTGCCATCAAGTCCGGTTAAGGGTCTGGCTTTTTCCAAGATCATGAAGTTCTTTGACTCATCATCTGGTAAAAAAAAAAAGGGGGGGGGCAAATGGTGACTGAATGATTCTGTAATGGAATAAACTCACGGGAATTTCTTAAAATGCCAAATACGGAACAAGCTTTGACAACTCTTTGGGATTACCACCAGGAATTTGCAAAGAGAGACTCCAGCCCTTGCAGGCAAGTAACACACAGAAGGAAAGTAGTTCTTTCATGTGCTTTCCATTGAATGAAAAGTTGACGTAAATCATGGTTGTTTATGTGTGGCTTAAATAAATGATGTGTTTGTGGCTAGAAGATCTGGGAAGGCTATAAAGAACAATGAGGAAAACCACTTTGGGCTTTATAGAGTAACTGAAGGATAAGCTGAATTGAAGTCTGTTTTTAACAAGGCTTTGTGTGCTATTACTT